TTGGTTGTAAAAGTTATTGCGGGTTTAGTGTGCTTTTAAAAGTTCATGGTGGTTTACTATAAAATACTGAAAGTTCATGGGGGTTTAGTGTAATTTACCCTTTTATGTGTAAATGTCTGGCCTTTTCAGTAGATATCAGTATAGATGCAAGAAATATAGCACAATGAAGTTTGCTATGTGGAGGAATAATTTGATAGGTCTGGTATTATGCGCAGAAAAGTGGCGATGATAAAGTCTGATAGGGACACACGATATGCAATTGATTCCATAGTCACGCATGATGGCACGAGAATGCGGTGCTTGGCTCTGAATGAACTTTCGACATTTAGAACAAAGCTTGGGGTTGAAGCATATGATAAGGTATGGTGGAGTTTTGTTGGGCATTGGGATTTATTTATTGCCGGCATTTGAGTCATAGCCTCTTTTAATATGGGTATAATTCCTACTTTCTGATTTTCTCTGTATTGAACATATCATTGTGCAATAGGTTCCTCATGATTTAATTAATTACATTTAGTTCATAAGTTAACCAGGGATCACCATTTACATATCAGTCAGGAGTTTGAGAACTATATATAAAAATTTAACCTGTCTTTTGCAATACCAAATCCTCATGAACTGATTGCTGTTTAGGGGCTGTTTGGTTCGTTTCCTAGATATAGGGAAATGCATTTTTATGTACAAAAACACAAGTTTTGAGTTTTCCAAACTTTTCCAAGCAATAGATTGTTTCGCTTTGGTTCGCACAAAAAAAGTGGTGGGAAACCAATGTATTTATTTTTCTTGTGTTTGGTTCGCATGGAAACAAAGGGAAAACTTTTTTTATATAGCAAAAAGCTGACGTGGCTGCAGTTTTCGTCGATTTCACGAGGTCGAGAAAAGAATTGGGGGAGAGAAAAAAATCTGATGTGGCGGCGATTTTCACCGAGTTTCCCTTCTTCAACCCTAGCGAACCAAAGATGGAAAAAAACCGACGGAAAGCTTATATCCTATGTGGCCATGAAAAATCTGATGTGGAGGCGGTGTAAAACTTTTCCACTGAGTAAAAAAACGAACCAAACAGCCCCTTATAAGAGAATCTTAGATGACATGGGCTGACCCTGTTTGGGTTGTGTCTTACCACAATATGAGAATTGATCCCTTTTCTCAAGCCATTGCCTGTTTGGGTCTGGAAAGAGGTTCGATGATAAATATCAAAGCTTGAAATTTGCTATATATTATGGGGAAGGGAAACAAGCAGAAGACAAAGTCAATGTTTACTTTGATTATATATAAGATAATTAGCAATCAGATGTAGGCAAGAGCAGCACATGAATACACACACACACACACACACATATTTAGATGTATGCATGCATGTATGTGTGTACACACACACACAGACACACACACAGACACACACACACACACACACACACACACACACACATTTGTTGTCTATTTAGCAAATCCAGATGGTCTGAGACTTAGGGACTTGATGTGGGTGGTTGTTTGGGTGGAAAAGGGGTTCGACTGTCTTAGCTTTGGGCCTTTGAGATGCCATGCTAGTCAAAGTGTGGTTATTATGTATGCATGCTCTCATTTGAGTGAGCTTTAGCCTACCCCTGGGGTTTTAAACTGTTGTCATTGGTTCAAAAGGAACTAACAAAGATTAAAAAAGAAGTGAGACACCATTCAAAGAACAATCTATTCGAAATAGGAAGGATGTTTAAGGGTTCTATTACTGTGTTGCTCAAGGAATTTCACCAAACTTTCTGGTGTACTCTATACCTGATTGTACTATAAACATGTATACCTAATACCAGTATACAATTCTCCACGATAATAGGAAATTTGAAAGTGTGTCATTGCTTAAACATAACGATATATTGACCTCACATGAACAAGGGTTTACAATCATACCAATCAGAAAGTTGATTTCAAATTTTCACGTCTTTATAATTTATGCAACATAGTTCAAATAGCTATTGCGAATTATTTTGTTTTTGCTCCCACTCAGTTCATGCTCCAGAACGTTGTCACCATGTATGCCTTGACAATTTAGGTAGAATGTGGTTAAGAATTTAGAAGATGCTCTTAAGCAGTTCTTTACCAGGGCTTTGATGCAACAGTAGATGGTATTTAATTTCATGTATATCTAACTTGGAGGAGGTGGTAACCCGTATTGTAGCTTTGTCTTCTTATATATGCCTGGTTATGTTTCAGTTTTATAGTTGATGTTTTCCTACACAAATCATGGGTCCTGGCTTTCATGGTTTTACTTTATGCTATGTTGCTTTTTGTGAAAGGCAGTGACATGCGCGTGCGCGCACATACATGGGGAAATCCTGTTTCAAAAAACCTCATGATGTATTTTTTTGAGGAAATCAAGATGCATGTTACCGTTTGATCACCATTAATGAAAAGGGGATCACTTTGTAATGCACCAGTTGAAGTGTTTAAGTGATTGGTGTCTTTTATTTGATATTTCCTAACTAATTAATCCTCTTTTTTTAAACTCAGATTGAATTGCATATGTTTTATTAGAATATGTAAATAATCTTTGATTATTATTAGAATATATGTAAATATATTCTTAGGTTGACTATGAGTTGTACATATCTTGTAAATATGGCAGGAGTAAATTACTCTCCATAATGTCAGGATTTGTACATATATTGTAAATATGGCAGGAGCATATTACTCTCCATAATGTCAGCTATCTAGTTTGTATATATTGACAATTACTAGAATGAAATAGACAGGGGAATATCTTCTTACATGTTTAATGCTAATGGTTTATTAAGATCACATAGTTATGACCGGACAAGGAACACCAGTACATAATTCTGGATTAGCTGAGCCTAGTGTGGACATCCTGCTTTTTATGCATCTATAAGTTTCTCATGGATTTTCTTCCCGTGCTGTCATTTTCTAACAATATATGCCGGCAGCTTGATGTAATAGGGATAGATGAAGCCCAATTCTTTGAAGATCTTTATGACTTCTGCTGTAATGCAGCTGATCGCGACGGAAAAACTGTTATTGTTGCAGGCCTGGATGGTGATTACTTGAGGTAACTACTAAACATCACTCAAGTAAAATCTCTCAAAGAAAGATATCAGGATCAGGATATCTACTCGTATCATGTATCCTTTATAAACATACCCTTCACAACCTCTAAACTGATTGTAAAATCCATTCATTCTAATATACCAGCATTGGTAACCGTTATAGGGTTATAGTTGCATACACACTTATATAACCATGTAGTTATTATACCCCGTATACTATTTTTGTTGCACTTGCGCCTCACAAACTCCAAGCATTTATTTCCCAAGTTATGTTGAGATGTAATGTGGGAAGCACATCATGTTAACTATGCCCTCGCTTTAGCTGAAAAGCGGCTAAATTGTCTATATTGAGGGTAAAGATTAAGATTTAAGGGTATAAGTATTAACATAAAGTTTAGGGTGGGTACAAGTGGCTGCCATTAGCTATGACTATAAAATTACATGGTTTTGAAGCATAAAATGAACTGTCTCAACTATTTTTGATAGTCCCTTCTAACTCATCAAACTCTGGCAGGAAAAGGTTTGGTTCAGTGCTTGATATTGTTCCCTTAGCCGAGAGTGTGACTAAATTGACTGCAAGATGTGAGATATGTGGTCGTCCCGCCTACTTCACCTTAAGAAAGACAGAGCAAAAAGAAACAGAACTTATCGGAGGAGCTGATGTGTACATGCCAGTATGTAGACAACATTATGTGAATGGGCAGGTGGTTATAGAAACAGCAAGGCTCGTCTTGGAATCTAAGAAGGAGAAGCTTGAAGTTTACTCCGAGGCAGGATCTCCATAATCGACAACTTTTATGTTATTGTGTGAGTTATTCACCGTGTTATTGGTCCCTTTGTTATATCACGTATGTACGTGTTGTTCTATATCTATAGAACATTATATGTTATATTTACGTCATAAGAATATGCGAGTGTGCGTAAAAGGTTTAGTTCTCTTAATATTATCTGTCTATTTACCATGATCGCTTTGTTAATAAAGCAATTACTTGGCCACCAGCAAAGAAATTTCATGCAGAACCTATACGGCTGCACTGCCAAATGTTTTCATGATTTTTGTACTTTGACGCTGGCAAGTATTAATTTGAGTGTCGCCTTTTGGGCTAAAAAGATCAGGCATAGTCACATTAGATTCTAGATTCATAGGCAAATATGCATTTGCCGAGCAATGCTGGGGATGCTCTTGGTTCGGCGGGTGTCGCTTTACTCCTAGAGCATTGTCCATAAAGATAGCTCCAATCCTAGACGCCCTATACCGAAGTCTACGCCCTAACCTACCGCAAATTTTTAAAATTGACCCATTTACAAAAATAATTGCAAAATCGACATCTTTTCAACATATTTGTCAAAATCAACCTAGTTTTAGTCATCTGACTAAAATTGGGTCGATTTTGAAACTTATGAAACTTCACGGGACTTCAATTCCCGTGAAGTTTAAGACCATTTAATGAAATTTGATTAACGGTGCCAACTCTTTCACGAGACTTTAAGTCCCGTGAAATTTGTTTAAAACTTCACGGAGAAATGGGTCGATTTTGTTTAAAATTTGTTTAAAACTGGAAATTCAGTGGGAACTTCACGGGACATCAAGAGCCGTGAAGCTAAAACACTCCTTACAAGTTCACGGGACTTTAAGTCCCGTGAACTTTTTGAAGTCCCGTGAACTTACACAGGTTAATTACCTGGCTGCTAAACTTCATAGGACATGAAGTCCTGTGAAGTTTCAGATATTTTTGGTCAAAATCGACACAGTTTCAACCAGACGGTTGAAACTAGGTCGATTTTGACAAATATGTTGAAAAGATATTGATTTTTGCAATTACTTTTGTAAATGAGTTGATTTTCAATATTTGTCCCCCTAACCTAACACAAACCCCTCAGAACACAAGCGTCTAAGACTCGTAGGAGGGGTTAGTCACCTAGAACTTTTTAAGTAGAACTGGGATAATTGGTAAAGTAGGATAATTTTTTGACACTGGGATAATTTAGTAGAACAATGATGGACAATTCTTAAAGTGAGATAATTTGGTAGGATAATTTGGTGGGATAATGATGGATAATATTATGAAGTTGCATAATTTGGTAGGATAATTTGGTGGGAGTAATGGTGGGTATAAATTACTATTGTTAATAATTGTATATTAAAAATAATATAATATTGATAAGCAAATTCTAGTAATAACTATAAAATATAATGCAATAAAGCATCACTATTCATCTCAAATAATAAAATAATTTACAAATAAATAAAAATCTAAATCCCTAGAGTGACTCGACTTCCATCATCTCACATGGCTTCTATCATCCCACATGGCATCTGCCATAGAATTTCTCCAAACTCTTATATCTGCTCGTTGAGTCTGTAACTCGTCTTCTTTATCGGAGTCATCGTCTGCATCAACAACATTTCGTGGAGCTTCTAGTAGAGGATCATAAATGTCGAAGTTCAAATCTCATAACATCATAAAGAAAGAAAAATAAGCATTTTTCAGTCATTAACCCTTTGGACCAATCTCATCATGATCGTTGAAACCAAATCAGCAAATAAATGAAATGTACACAGGAATCATCCAAGACCGCTAAACAGATGATCGACAGATGAACTATAAATATCCCAATCAATTTACTGAGCCGATTTAATAATAATAGATATCACCATTAACCATTCAACATCTAATCATCAATGTGATCGCAAAGTTGCTTTCTAACTTATAAAAAAACATAAATAGCCCGCATATCTTTAGCACTAACCCACCAACACTATATTCTTAACCTAAACCACTGTTGTGGAGAGAAAACTTTGATCAAACAAATAATAAAAAAGTAATTTAACGTCAAAAAAGCTATCAATAAAGTAATACATCTTGAAGATAATAATAAAAGATCTAATCATCACAAAAACAAAGTAAAGACAGAAAAATGAACGGATGATTGACTTCATGGCAGAGAAATTTTCTAGGCGGAGAAACTAACCAAGAGGGAGGGAGGTGACGTTTCACTTTTTTTCCCAATTGTATTATTTCCGATGTGTGGGATAATTTGAGAGAGGAGAACTTATGGTTATATATATAGGTAGTATAATTTGTGGGATAATTATGACCAATTATCCCAATTCTAATTCTAGTAGAATTCTACTTGACTAACGCACCAAAAAAATAATACAGTTCTAGTTCTACAAAAGTTCTACTTGACTAACACTATAATAAAATATCTCATTTCCTAGTTCTATGTGACTAACACCTTAAAAATTTATCTCATAAATTATCACAGTTCTACTTTCCCTCATTTGCCAAGGCCCAAGAGAGTTTTTCTTAGATATTAGTCCCTTAAATCTTCAATAATTCCATATAAGTCCCCCAAGTTTTGGAAATTGCATACTATTATTCCCTCATTTCTTCAATAATTTCATTAAAGAAGAAGAACTCAAGTGAGTTTGATTTTTTTTTAAAAACTGATATAGGGCTAAAACCGTTAAGAAACAGGTTTAGGGAACTCAACTAAGAAGTACAACAGTCAATTTGTATCAGATTTTAGGGGATATCGTCCTAAAAATGTGAGTTAACTAGGTATACCATTCTGCAAGGCCCCATAGGATTCGAGGGAATGATATGCAATTTTTAAGATTTGAGGGAGTAATGTGCAATTGTTTAAGATTTAAAGGACTACTAACTAAATAACCCTTTCCAAAATGGTGCCACGAAAAATAAAAAACATTTTAAAATAGATTTAGCACAAGTATCGCTGAGTGATCTGAGTTAGGAGGTTCCATCATAGCTCCCACCGTGGTGAGTTGGATCCGTTGTCTTGGATTCGTGGTCGTGTCTTAATAATAATAATTATAATAAAAATGATAATAATAAATAAGTAACAGATTTAGCGGACATTTACACCAAAGAACCCATTACATATCCCAATCATACTCAGACCCAATTAAGACGAATTTCAAAATTAAACCAGAGCAAAGTTTTCCTATCCTAATAATTGAGGGTCATACAATCGAAGTTCTAGTTTCAAAAAATCCAACACGGCTCGATCGGTTGCTCGTCAAGCCTTCAAGAAAAACCGCTTCTTTTCCTTCCCAAATCAAAGGCACTCGAGCTCTCATAAAATGAAGGCACGAAGATTGCATTTTTGAATTGGGTTTGTTCTCTTTCCTTTCTTCTTAATTAAAGCCGTTGATCTCCGCGCAGCCACATGGTCCTCTTCTTCCCAATGATTGTTTATATGAGTTATGATAAAAAGATCAGTTCTTGCGAAGATCAGCAGCCGAAAGCTACCCCCTTTAGCCTTGTTCTTCTGTTCCTCCACCCAAACGCATGAAAATGAGTGGGAAAAACTACTCAAACCCTTCGATATCGAATCCCTTCGCCAATCTTTCAACCGAATCACACCAGCAAGACTCTGCAAATTTCTTCAGCTCCCACTCGATATCCCAACCTCAGTGCACCTCTTCAATTGGGCAGGTGCCCAAAATGGCTACTCTCATTCCTTTGATGTATACTGCACTCTCGTCGCCAAATTAAGCGAAGCCGGAGAGTTTGATGCTATAGATAAATTACTACAGCAAGCCAAGGACGAAGGCGTTGTGTTAAGAGAGCGTTTGTTCATATTCATCATGATTGGATATGGGAAGGCTGGGTTACCCGGGGCTGCGGTCAAGCTGCTCGATGAAATGCCCGGATTGTTCGATTGTTCGCCAACCTTTAGATCGTACAATGTCGTTCTGGATATCTTGGTGAAAACAAATTGTTATGATATGGCAGCGAAGTTGTTCTTCAAAATGTTACATAAGAAAGTGTCGCCTACTACTTTCACTTTCTCTATAGTGATGAAGGCTTTATGTGCAATGAATAAGGTAGAGTTTGCATGCTCGCTTCGTAAAGAAATGGTGAGGCATGGGTGTGTTCAAGATTCAGTTATTAATCAAACGTTGATACATGCTCTCTATAGGGAGAATAGAGCTTCGGAAGCTTTGAGGCTTTTGGAGGAGATGCTTGCTGTGGGTTGTTCGCCCGATGCTATGACCTTTAATGATGTTATTCATGGTCTTTGTAAAGTTGGTCAGACGAGAGAAGCACTTAAGTTGATTGATAGAATGATCGCTCAAGGATTTACACCGAGTGCTTTGACCTATGGAGTTTTATTACAAGGGTTGTGTAATAAAGGCCAATTGGATAAAGCAAGTGCTTTATTGCAGAAATTGTGTGGAAAAGATCACGCTACTGACATGAAAGCAGTTTTGGATGCAATACCGAATTCAATGGTGGTTTTGGTAAACACCATGATCAGTGGATTTGTGAAAGAGGGAAGGCTAACAGAAGCAAAGGAGCTTTATGACAATATGCTGATGAATGGGTATGATCCCGATATTTATACTTACAATATAATTATTCAAGGCCTATGTAAGGAAAAGAGATTTTGGGCGGCTATACTATTACTTAAAGAGATGGAAGAAAAGGCGTGCACACCAAACATTGTCACATATACAATTTTGATAGATGGGTTTTGTAAAGATCGTCGATGGGAGGAAGCTAATAAAGTTTTGGACCAAATGTCTTCAAAAGGTTTGAGTCTGAATACCGTAGGATATAACTGCCTGATCTCTGGTCTGTGCAAAGATCGGAAAGTTGAACAGGCTATGGAAATCTTCGAAAAGATGAGAAGAGGAGGGTATAAGCCTGATATTTTTACTTTTAATTCTCTCTTATATGGCTTGTGTCAGGTTGGCAAGATCGAGGAAGCATTCTGTTTATATGATGACTTGTTATTGGAGGGTGTTATTGCTAATACCGTAACATATAATACACTGATTCATGCAGTGCTATGGAAAGGCGATTGGCAAAAATCGTTAGATATTGCTAAGGAAATGATATCTCGTGGATGTTCGCTTGATGTTGTGAGCTATAACGGGCTAATAAAAGCACTTTGTAAAGGTGGAGAGGTTAAGACAGGCTTGGGGATGCTTGAGGAGATGACGAGAAAAGGTATCTCTGCAAGTAATGTTTCTTATAATCTCCTAATAAATGGCCTATGCAAAGAAAAGAAAGTTCAAGATGCCCTCGAACTCTTACAAGAAATGCTTCATCGAGGATTCACACCTGATATAGTTACGTATAATAGTCTAATGAATGGAATGTGCAAGATGGGTAAGATGAGTCAGGCTTTGAAACTCCTAGAGAATATATATGCTGAAGGGTTAGTTCCGGATACAGTGACGTACAATATTCTCATTAGTTGGCATTGCAAAGCAGACATGCTTGATGATGCGAGCTCGCTTTTGAGTAGGGCTGTGAATTGTGGGATAATCCCCAACAATAGGACATGGGACATAATGGCCAGTAACTTCATTAAAGAACCGAGATTTTCGTTGCCACTGTAAGGATTCATATACTAGCTGTTGTGATGCCATTTACAATAGGGGGTTTATCATTTGGAGATTCGAGATGTATACTCCAAGCCAAAGACTCGATCAGCATAGAAGAAGCACAATTTTAGAGCTATTTGATTCGGTAAGCGTTACTATACATCCAAACTTTTGATGCCTACTTTCTTGACCTTGTGAGCTGATTTTTCTTGTAAAACCGTTACCGTGTACAATTTATATCCTGATGTATGCTGTGCCATAATCACTATGGATTCTCAGATAATGCTTACAACGGAATAGCACTCTTTAGCAACGTTGCCTTTTTAGTGATCATTAGAACTAGGGGTGCTAAACCGTATCCGTATCCGAGAAAATATCCGTAACCGTATTCGTTAGGATACGAATATGGTTACTCAAATCTATAACCGATAGGATATGGTTACGGATATGGTTTTGTAGTGAAATATCTGTATCCGTATCTAAAATATCCGAATACATATTAGTCATACTCTTATGATAGTTTCGATTCTTAGATTATGGATTTGTGGTTAATTTTAATGATCAAGATGTCTAATCTTAACTTTTCAATTATAATGGACATATTAACAAATTCTTTTGTATCACATGAACTATGTTTTTCTCAATACTATCTAGTTTTCTCATATCTGTTTTGTATCTGCATGCATATCCGCTTATATATCCGCATGTATATCCATAACCGTATCCGATTTTAGCGAATATGGTTATAAATTTTTCTTACCGATGTATATTTGTATCCGTATCCGAGATGGGTAAGTGGATATGGATATGATAAGCATCATATCCGAGACGTATCCGAACTGAATGCACCCCTAATTAGAACTGTGCTAACAGACATTTTCTTTTCCTGTGTGATCTAAATTAACATAAACATTGTCTATTCGAGTAGTGAAGTGATAGTTATCTTAGTCGTTGAGATGAAAAGTGTGTTGAGCTATTTTCAGAATCATATCGACCTTACGAAACTGAGCAACAACTACACACGCATAGGCATACCTAACACAGAGACTTACATATATTTATTGTGCCATTTGGTTGTGCTTCGAGAAATCATGAAACAAACAGCTGCAGTGTGCAACAGCTGAGCGAAGCGTGCATGAACTTCGAGAAATCATCCTACTAGCATTTTCACGCGGATCAAGCCACTTACTTGAATTTCTCCAAACTGTGTATTTTTTTGAAAGCACCCACTTATTTGAGGGAAGTTATGCCGGTGCCGTGCTTTATTTCCTTGCCAATACTACCTATCCCAAACAGGATAAAGGAGGAGAGTTACATTAGGTAGCTAACATCCAGCGTAAAACATAGTCGGATCCACATAAAAATGAATCCTATTAAATATTTGTCAGGGGCGTCCCCACCGCAACACATTGCATCAATGCTATCTCGATACAATGATAGGTGGGCAATGGTGGTTTGCTAGGGCATTCTCCGGAAGCGACGTGTTAGATCGATCTCACCCCGGCGTAATGACAAGTAAGCAAATGTGTTCTAAGAATCTACAATACTCTAATATGTTACCAAATAGTATTAGGCATAGCCTAGGATGATAAAAGATGGGAAAATAATAAGAGACTTCTACACTTACAAGAGACAATGGAATTAGTAAATATCATACTTATAAGAAATATAAATATACTATGCTTACATAAAAGTAAATGGATAGGTAAAAAATCTAGAGAAACTGAAAAAACTAGATATGAATGTTGATACATGGGAAAAGAGAAGAATATAAGAGGAGTGGGAACCATTGTAGATAACATAATAAAAGATAGTGTTGTAGATGTAAAAAAGAGTTGGAATTAGAATAATACTAATAAAAATTATATTAGGAGTAGAGATTATTAATATTATTGGTGCGTATACACCACAAGTACGGTTGCTCGAAAGTACTAAAAGGAAATTTTGTGATAGCTTAGATGGATCAGTATAAGGAATTTCATAAGGAGAGAAATTGTTTATGAGAGGGATCTTAATGAGCATATTGGTAAGGATAATAATGGATATGAGAGGATAGATGGAGGTTTTGAGCATGGAGATAAGAACGATATGAGAAAATCAATTTTAGAGTTTACAACATCATATGATTTGACAATAGCAAGTACACAATTTAAAAAAGGGATGAACACTTAATAACCTTTAAAAATAGATTTAACAGTAGTCAAATAGACTTTTTTCATACTAAAAGAGTGGATAGGTTAACACGCAAAGATTATAAAATTATACGGAGAGAGAGTTTAACTACATAGTCTACACAATATAGATTGATGATTTTACACATGTTTATCAAGAAGTGGAGTAGAAAAACTAACATGAATAAGAGATTAAAAACTAAATGGTGGAACGTAAAAGGAAAAAAAAATTAATGCATTTTAAAAATAAGATATGAAGGAAGATATATAGAATATGAATAATAAGACTAATATTGTCTGGAATAGCATGTCTTCGTGTATTAATTAAGAAGATAATTAAGGATATATTAGGAGAATCAACGGTTGTAGGTTTGATGGCAAGGAGAGTTGGTGGTGAAATGAGAATGTGCAAAATGCAATTAATGAGAAAAAATATTATACAAAGAGTGGCAAAAGTGTAGGGGCAAGAAAAACTTGGAGAAGTATAAGCTAGCTAGGAAGGAAGCAAAAAGAGTGGTTAGTGAGACCAAATACAAGGCTATGAGAATTTCTAATAAAAAGTTAGAACCTAAGAAGGGAGAGAACAATATATATAGACTTGCTAAGATTAGAGAAAGAAAGAGTAAGGATTTGAGTAATAGTAGATGTATTAAAAGCAAAGATCATAAAGTTTTAGTAACCAACATGGAAATAAAAGAGAGGTGAAGTTATTTTCATAAATTATTTAATAATAACCAAACAAGTGGGCAACATAGAAGACTTGACCATATCGTGAACGATAGAAACGATAGATATCGTCAGAAAAATTAGGATTAGTGAGGTTAAAGTGCTCTAAAGAAAATAAAAATAAATGAAAGAGCTTAGGACCGGACGATATCCCTACCGAAGTTTGAAAATCTCTTGGAGATATATGCCTAAATTATTTAATAAGATTATCGAGACAAAGAGGATGCTTGATGAGTGGAGGATTAGTACGTTGATACCGATATATAAGAATAAAGAAGATATACAAAGTTGTTTAAATTATCATAGTATAAAACTTATGAGTCATACTAGAAAACTTTGGGAGAGGGTAATTAAGCAAAGAGTAAGAAAAGACAAGTGTATCTAAAATTTTATTTGGTCTTATGTCCAGGAACTAAAAATTTATTTGGTCTTATGTCTAGGAAGTTAACTATGGAACCTACACATATTTTGAGATAGTTGATGGAGAAATATAAAGAAAAGAGAAATAATCTACATATGATTTTATAGATCTAGAAAAAACATATGATAGAGTGTCTAGAGAGGTAATGTGGTGGATTTAAAAAAAGAAACATGTATCTAGTATATATATTGATGTGATTAATAATATACATGATAGAGTAACAACAACTAGAGTAAGAATTAATGAAAGAGAGACTAAACCGTTTCCTATTACTATAAGTTTACACTAAGGGTCAGCCTTAAGTCTTTATCCTTTATCATTAGTTATTGGCCAACTTACTAGGCACATTCAAGATAAAATCCATGACATATATTATTTGAAAGAGAAACTAGAAGTTATATAATTTTTAAAATAGAAAGGCGGAGACAAGTTCTTGAATCCAAATATTTTAGAATTAGTAGAACAAAAATAGAATATATATAAAGTGCATTTTAGTAAAAATAAGAAAAGAAAAGAGCCTATAGTATATATTGATGGTCAAAATTTTCTAAAAATAATTACTTTCGCTATTTAGAATCAATCATTCAGCATGATGGTGGGATTGATGATGATATTGTTCATCGAATCAAATCGCGATAATTGAAATGGAGAAGTGCTTTGGAAGTCTTATGCGATCATAGAATACTAATAAAATTAAAGGAAAATTTTTGTAGAATGGTTATAAGACTAAAAATGATTTATGAGTCAGAGTGTTGGGCAATTTAAAAAAATAACATGTGGAAAAGTCGAGTGTAGTAGAAATGAAAATATTGAGATGGTCTTATGGGTATACACTAAAAGATAGGATGAGAAATAAGTTTATCCGTAGTAAATTAGAGGTTACTTCTATTGAGGATAAAATGTCAAATAATTGACTAAGATAGTTTGGTCATGTACAATGGATACTTCTTGTGCACCGAGGTAGAAAAAATGATAGTATTATAGTTAATGAGACTAGGAGATCTAGAGGTAGGACCTAAATGAATATGGTTGGAAATAATTAAGAAGGATATGATAGTATTTAACATAATGGAGGAGATGTCCCGTAACAGAATGGACTGGAAAAATAAGATACATATAGTTAACCTCAAACATTTGGGATAAATGCTTTGATGTTATTGTTATTACCCACTTATTCGAGGGAATCAAGTATTCTTCTCTACAAATTGATGGGGGACTGATGGAGGAATTCGGAGCAAATTTTGATTAAAGAAAGTGATATGTTGGGTGCATTTTCAATTAATTGTCGAATTAACTGAGATGCTACCTACCAATTAGAAGTCATCTTGGTAGGTTTCGATTTTTAGGTTTGGGTCATACAACTGCAATTGGCTTAATCCTTAGATTAATGGTTTTGAAGTTAATTTTAATGATCAAGAAATTTGATCTTAACTTTTCAAATACAACGAACATTTTAATGACCTCTCTTGTATCACATGAACTATATTTAATGATCAAGAAATTTGATCTTAACTTTTCAAATACAACGAACATTTTAATGACCTCTCTTGTATCACATGAACTATATTTTTTATGGTTTGGGTCATACAACTGCAATTGGCTTAATCCTTAGATTAATGGTTTTGAAGTTAATTTTAATGATCAAGAAATTTGATCTTAACTTTTCAAATACAACGAACATTTTAATGACCTCTCTTGTATCACATGAACTATATTTTTTATAATTTTAATGATCAAGAAATTTGATCTTAACTTTTCAAATACAACGAACATTTTAATGACCTCTCTTGTATCACATGAACTATATTTTTTAT